CAACGAAGCAAAAATTGTCGTCGCGCGCACCCCCGAGCTTGGACATCAGGGGGGGGGGGGGGGCTGGTGGGCTTGGTCGTCGTCGTTGCGGGTGGTCATCCCCCCCCCTCCCCCCCCCCCCCCGCCATGCCAGTTCGCCCGAATCGGTCGCACGGCAACGGCCACGTGGTCCATGCGGGGGATGGTCACCTCACCTCACCACATAGGTGGAGGCAGAGAGCAGGGGGAAGAAAGGGGAGTGTATGTCGTGTGCGTACCAGTTGTCAGAGGCGTTCTGGTCTTTGAGCATGGTCACTGCATCGTCCACTTCAGGGCCATAGGCCAATGCCATGTCGTTGCTGGTCGGCGGAGTCGAGTGCTGGTCAGAGTCTGTACGGAAGATGCGATGCGGAGAAACTCGGGGCAGGCAAGTGTGCAGGGCATGGGGCGGAGTTTAGTGGGCTACTCGGTGTCCATCGAGGTCGGGGCCGACGGGGGTGGGGCAGCGGCAGTGGCCGAGGCATCCGTGGCAAGCGCGATTGAACGTGGGAGCATGGGGACGGCGACGCGCTGGCCGCGACGGGCGCGGCGCTCGGCGACGGTCTCGCGCTTCTTCGGCGGCGGGGCGGCCTTGAGCCGCGGGCGCGAGCGCGAGACCCGGATGGGCCGGCCCTTGACAAACGAGTGGTTCTTGGAGAGGGCGGCGGTGGCGCCGGCCTCGGTCTCCATCTCGATGTAGGCAAATCGCTTGCGACGACCGTTGTACTCGGGCCAGCGGATATCCTTGACCGGTCCGGCCTGCTCGAAGAGCTCGCGGAGGGCCTTGGGCGAGATGTACGGAAGGTTTTCCACAAAGAGGGTGCGCGGCTCGGCCTTGCGGCCCTTGACGGCCTCGACAGGCTCGGGCTCATGAGCCCGGCGCTTAGTGCGGATGCGGTTGAAGACTAGCTGGCGCCCGTGGATGGCCAGCGGCTGAGTTGCGTCGACCAGGGCGTCAACAGGGTGCGGCGAGGCAAACTCGACAAAGGCAAAACCGCGGTGGCGCCCGGTCTTGGCATCGGTCTTGATGTGGACCCGGACGACGCGGCCGTACTCGGAGAGGAGCTCGCGGAGGTCAGCAGCGGTGGCGTTGTAGTCGAGGTTGAGGATGTTGACGGTCCGCAGATCGCAGCCCTTGCCCGACGCGCCCGAAAACGCGCCGATTTCGTCACCCGACTCGAGCTGGTGGCCGTGCAGGCCGCGGATGGCAGCATCGAGCGCGGCGGCGCCGTCTGCACCGGCCGGGAAGCCGACGAGGACAAACGGGTGGGCCAAGTAAACGTACTCGACAGCGCCATAATCTTTGACGAGTGCACTAACGGCATCGGCGTCGACGGAGGCGGGCACCGAGCCAAGGATCAGAACGTTGACGGTGTTGACCTCGGCAGCGCCGCGCTTGGCTGACGCGTTCTCGTCGGCGGCCGGTGGCGCGTCGTCAAAGTCGACCGCCATGTTCCTCCGCTTGCGCTTCTTGGGTGACGAGTCGGAGGCGGCAGCGGACGGAGCGACGGCGGCGGCGGCGCGGGCCTTGGCGGCCTCAACGCGTGCGGCCTTTTTCTTGGCCTTGCGCCGCTTGGCGCGCTCGATCTTGGCGGCGGCGGTCGGATCAATGGCGGCCGGCGGAGCGACGGCGGCGTCGGCACTTGCGGCGGCAAGAACCGGTGCCAGTTCATCCTGAAGGGCGAGGGCATCGGCGGCGCTGCCGTGGGCGTCGACAAGCTCGAGGAGCGCGTAGCCGACCGAGAGCGGGTCAGCTCCGGCTTCCAGGAGCTCGCGGAGCATAGATTGGGTCTCGTCGTAGCGGGTCTGGGTCATCGGGCTCGCGCCACGGAGAATGGCCACGGCCGAGGCCATGAACGCCGGATCGGCGAGCGTCGCCGGGCTCGACGCCTTGACTTGGTTCAGAACGGCGGCGGCAGGGCCGAGGCCGCCGCCAGCGGCGGGCTCGAGCGCAGCGAGCTGGGCCATGTGGACGAGCGCGAGTTGATGGCTCCCAACCGCGTCGACGTACTCGGCCCAGAGGGCCGGGTCGGCCGGCGCCAGCCTGCGGAGCGAGGCGTAGCCGGCCGCATGCAGGGCGGGCAACGAGTCCGAGGTGAGACTGGCAAACGGGTCAATGACAACACCCTGGAACAGATTCTTGAGCACAGCGAGGGCGTCGTCGGGCGACGAGGCGGTGAGCTCGGTAAGCTTGTAGCGGAGCGACCAGAGGCCCGAGACCCATGGACAGCAGGTGAGGGCGCGGAGGGCAGCGGCAGCGGCGGACTCCAGATCGCCGACAGTCACAGCCAGGTACAGGATGTAGCTGGTCCAGGTCGAGGCGTCAAGGCAAGTTACTGCCAGCGAACGCTCGTAGAGGGCAACAACAAAGGCCGGCGAGACCGGGGCGTCGTCGCCGGCGGCAGTCACGTGGGCAATGTACCAGTTGTACGCCTGCGGTGCGCCGGCAGAGAGCTCGACGCCCGACTCGGCGTCGTCAACCATGGCGGCGCGGGCGGCAAGGCGGGCGGCAGCGGCGTCAAAGTCGGCCTGCGCAAGCGCACCATCGAGCTCGGTTAGCGCCGGTCGGAGGAGCGAGCCGAGGGCGGGATCGGTGCCAAGCTCGAGCTGATGAAGGATGGCCGAGCCGGCGGCGTCGGGCCGGCCCAGTGAAACAAGCAGGGCCCGGGCCTTGTGGCTCGCCTGCAGCGCGTCCTCGTGGCTCGGTGCCACACAGCAGGCGCGGAGGAGAAACACGAGCTCGGAGACCCAGTAGCCCGGATCCTTGAGCGCAGCAGCAGGATGCGGCGGCGGGGCGACAACCGGCATCCACGGCGCCGAGCCGACCGAGGCCTCGGAGACGCCGAGAACGGTGGTGGCCGACTCGGCCCACGACGTGCGGGCGTGCGGGAGGAGCGGTCCGCCCCAGAGCTCGTCGAGCGTGGGCGCGCTCGGCGGGCACGGGCCGTCAACCACATCCGGCAAGACAGCCTCAAGCCAGACAACATAGGCCAGGGCAAGAGCCGGGAGGGCAAGCTGGCGGACTGCGGCGGCGTGGACCCAAGCGGCACGGGCCAGATCGTCGAGCTCAGCGCCTGGGGCGGAAGCGGCGTCAGCAGCGTAAGCAGCCCACCAGAGCCATGCATCTTCGGGCAGTGGAAAGCAGTCAGCCATAGCAGCGTAAGCACGAGCGGCAGCATGGACGTCCCCGGCATCGCGGCAGTGCTGCGCCAGGGCCAGGTGGGCGTTGTAGTCGAGCGGGTTGGCGGCGAGGGCAGCGCGGGCAGCGTCACCGGCACCGGGCTCTATCCGCAGGTTGGGCGGGGTGAGCCGACCAGACGGAGCGGGTTCGTCGTCGTCGGACGACGACATGGCGGCCACCATTGGATCCATGATGGTGCTGGGGGTGGGTGGCGTGGCGTGGGGGTGGCGTGGGGGTAGAGTGGGGTGGGTGACCCTAGTGCGACTTGGGGTGTGGGTGGGCGGGATCAGGCGGCGGAGGAGGGGGGGGGGTATGTATGACGATGATGATGTGTTACGATGTAGAGACAAGGAAGGGGGGGCGGGCAGGAGAGGAAGAGGGAGGAGAAAGAGAGGGAAAGAGGAGGGGGGGGGGGAGGGGGGAGGTCAGAGGATGGGCGACGTCGAGTGGCCAGGGGCAGCGAGGGCAGAGAGGGCGATCGGGGCAAGGACGTGATGGTTAGCGGTCGACATCGCCGCCGCATGGGTGATGTTGGGAAAGTTAGGGCACTGGACGGCCGAGGCGCACGAGGGAGGCAGGTCCCAAACGGAGTCGGGGATGGGCGAGGTATGGTCAAAGTCGAAGAAGTTCTGGATGGTAAAGGCGTAGGGCGGGATGGCGGCAAAGTAGAAGCCAGCTGGAGTGGCGCCGTCTGGGCCACACTCGGAACCCATAAAACCGTAGCCAAACGGCCCGCCGGACGATGGCGGAGCGTCGAGCTGCCACCAGCGAGCACCGCCGCGGTAGGGCGAATGCCCGACATACTGCAGATCACTCTTCATCTTGTGAAGAAAGTCCGGAGCTGGGGCATGCCACGGGCGCTGGAAGATGCAGCAATCTGGCTGATGCGGCGGAGAATGCGGCGATGGCGGGATGAGGAGGTACGAGGTGGGCAGCCTGCCGCCGAGATTGACAAAGGAGCACGGAAAGTCAAAGCCACCGACGGCCGCCGGGAAGATGGGCACGCAAAAGTCGTAGTAGTCTTCCCGGATGTTCCCCTTTGACCAGTCATAGTACGTCTTGCCTGATCCCTTCATAGCGATCTCGTCCGGCACATCATCCACGTTGTCGTACGGTGGCGGCGTGGTAGAGTTGGTGACCAGTTGCTGCCAGCGCAGCTGCCACGACGGCCACCAGGTGCAGGGTGTGGGGGCGGCGGAGGAGGGAGGGGTAAGGAGAGTGAGGGTGAGGGTGAGGGTGAGGGCGAGAGTGATGGTGAGGAGGAGAGGAGTGGAGGACATGGTTAGGGGGGGGGGGGTGGGGGGTGGGGGTAGGGAGGGGTAGGGAGGGGAGGGGG